TGCACTGTCAAAAGGGGCAGATGATAATATGGGTTTGAGGAACAGGGAATGATATTTGAAGAGACAATGAAAGTACATACCTCTCAGATCAAATAGAACTTTTGCAGTTTAATGATTTCTTTTATACCCTAAAAGACACTTACAATGTTGCTTTAGAACTTACAGTCCCAAGGACAAGACAGAACTTAACTCTGCAGATCTGTAATGTGACATGCAATTAATGCTCTATGAGCCGTTTGCCAGAAAAGAGTTCAATGGTCATCAGTTAAAATACTGTGATGATAATTTCAATTACTAGCTAATTTCTGGATTTGAGAATATACTTTATTTTTAAAGTATGATTACATTCCTTTCTGAGTCCTCATATGAACTGAGAGTGAAAATTTTTGGCATTTGACTCTTCAATAGGAGCGTTTTCATGGTAGGGAAACAAAAGTATGGAGCAGCTGAATGGAAAAACGTCATTTTTCAGGAGTGTTGTTTGGAAAAGATAAGCTAATGTTTAAAAGGGATATACTGGCAAATTAGCAAATAGCTCCCCTAATAATTTATTAGAGGCTTTATTACATTTCATCAAGAAGGAATCACTGAGGTCATTTTTTAAATGAAGCAGTCAAGTTGGCTTTCAAAGAAATCCAACACAAATAAATCTAAAGAATATTTCATCTCCTTGATCTTTTAGATCAGAATTGTGCCAACCTGCCTGAATAGCAGTGGGGTGGGCAGGACAGATGTCTGTAGAGGTACAAAAAGTTAGGTCAAGCTATAAGACTGACCCCAAATCCGGCATATTCCAAAACTTTTGAGGAATTAGAAAGATGAAAGGACATATTATATTGCATCAGCTTTGTTTCTTAATTGTATGTTTTTGTTCTGTTTAGTGTGATCACATTAAGAAAAAGAACTTCTTAATGTTAAGAATTGATTAACTTCTTTCCAAGAAACTGGTACAGTGACCTGAATATAGGTCCTTAATAAATTCTTATTATATAAGAAGTAATCCATTTGAAGGGTGCCTCAGTCAGTTAAGTGTGGGGCTCTTGGTTTTCGCTCAGGTCATGATCTCAGGCTGAGATTGAGCCCCAAGTTGGGATCCACACTGCGTGGAGTCTGCTGGGACTCTCGCTCCCTCTCCTTCTACCCCTCACCCCACTCATGTGGGCAAGTGCACATGTGCTCTCTCTCTGTCTCTCAAATAAATAAATAAATAATGAATGAATGAATGGATAAATAAATAAATAAATAAATATCTTTTAAAAATAATTAATCCATTTGAAATACGAAGATTTGTTGTTACAATTTCTATTTCACCCAGTTAGGTACGTAGAAAGAAAATGGGGTTTACTCAGGGATTAGTTCAGTAGCCATGGTGATATTTTCTCCTAATGTAGTGAATGGGTTGGAAGTTCACAGTTATTTGAAAAGTCTTCTGCCCTGGAGTTTTCTAAGGGTAATTTGTTGGCATTTTCAGTGAGAACACAAAGAACAGAGTGATATGCCTGAGCTTTTCCCTCCCACATTTACTTCTTTTTGAATATTATCATCTGTCGTCCTGGGATTCACTTTAGAACTAGCTAAGATGAGAAGTAGACACAGAGCTTGACAAACATACCACTTACAGATCAATCTTCACAGCTCTCTAAGTGAGGTGTAATCACTGTAAATCTTTTTTTGCAGTTGATTTATATTGTAATTAAGGCAGAGAAGAAGCACATACAAGGCCAAAAGTGGAAAAGTAGCACACATTTTTCATGGAAAGTTTTTCCCCCATAAGTCAGAGCACAAGAGAGTATTAGAAAAAAAATTACAAGGAACTAGTCACGCTCACTGACATGATATGGGAGGATGCTAAGTCATCTGTGTTTTCTGTTTAAATGTATATATTTCAGTTGATTAAAAAAGCACATGGTGAATTGATCTTGCAGCTTATAAAAGCAATATTTCAGCTTCGATGTTTTTTATTCTTTTTTTTAATCAAATTATCTCCCAAAGCATTTTGACTGAAGTTTATTAACAAGGCAATGCAGCTATTAATGCTCTGCAGTGCACTCTTGCAAAGTGAAGTAAGAGACATGACTTTTCCTATGCATACTGATCATACCTTCTGAAGGTCTAAAAGAACTAAAGATTGCATAGCTGAGTGGTTTTGAAGAAAGAAAATTGTTACTTTGTCTTTTTTTATGCAATGTTATTAGATTTTTGGCGGGGGAGCATTCATAAGAAACATTATATTGCTAGATTTTAACTGGTATTTCAAATATTATCAGATTTCCAAAAAAGTAAGTTAGAAATTCAGAGAGACCAAAGCAGCTACAGGCATTTATGCTGGGATAGAGGAGACTGGGAAAAGAACCATGCATGAACTTTAGGTGGATAACTAGGCTGACTTTCAGAAAATGTGGCGTTAATGTAATTCATATTAAGCAGGAAAGCAGTCACATTTTTGGCAACACATCAAATGATAAGGAGAAAATGATACTTTAACTTTGCATTTAACATA